ACACTCACTTTCAAAACACTTTCCACAGCCATCTTCCCTTCATGTCCTAGTAAAACAGTGTACGGATACAGCCACTGGATTGCGTTTTGGACTGACATCATAGGAAAGGAATCCTATTTAGGAGCAGAAATATGTAAGGGTAAGCAACATCTCAAATAATCACAGAAAATGTTTCTGAAATGTTTATATACCACTAAAGTTGCTTTAGTTTCCCAGAAGCATTTTTTCCAGAAAGCAGAAATCCCTCGTCACTTGCTGCTCCATACCATTTCTGTGGGCAATGTCACTACTCCTCTTCCATCTGTGCTGGTGGCTCCCATGCTTCCATTTCTAGTCCTTACCTCATTCTTGAGCTCTAGACCTGAACCTTCAGTTATCTATCCTGAGACTACAGTATACGGATTTGACACGTCTATAACAGCACACATTTCACCACTCTTTGTACCCAAAGTACCTCATTTTCTTCCTTTATTCCTCATTCAAGCTAATATCATCCATAATGACCTAGTTTCATAATTATATCCACAAAGTTAGAAAATGTTCATTATCTTCAAATCCTTCACCCAAATCACTTTCACTCTAAAGTCTGTTCGTGCCAATTTTAAGTTATTGACTGGGGCTGGAGAGATGGCTCAGCAGTTAAGAACACTGGTTGTTCTTACAGAAGACTCAGGTTCAAATCCCAGCACCCATATGGTAGGTAACAACTGTCCGTAACTCCAGTCCCAGGGGATCCGACAGCCTCTTCTGACCTCCGCGGACATTGCGCGACACGGGTGCACTTACCTACATGCAGGCAATACACACATACACAAAAAATAAAAATAATAAATAAAATTAAAACAGAGTTACTGACAGAGACAAATACAGATTATTTTATTGAATTATGTTACTATGATATGGAGTGTGATAACGGTGTTTTAGATATACAGAGTGCTGATTCTTAGAAGTCACATGCTTGAGTACTTAGGAAAGCATGTTACTTTCAAATGACTTAGAAAACATTGAGGGGAGAAAATGTCACATGCCAGCAAATGTGGCAATATGTTAACAACGGGTGCTTCTAGGTAAAGATCATGGGTGTTTATTTTACAATTTTCAACTTACTTTTTTATACTTGAGGTTTGTTTGAGACAGGGTCTCACTATGTAGTCTTGGCTGGCCTGGAACTTCATATGTAGATCAGGCTGACCGTGAAGTCGCAGAGATTTGACTACCTATGCCTCTTGAGTGCTGGGAATAAAGGCATGTGCCTGGTAGATTTTTGTTTTAAGATTTATTTATTTTCATCTTATGTATATGAGTGTTTGCCTGCATGTATGTATATGTACCACATGCATGGTTGGTACCTCAAAACCAAAAGAGGGCATCAAATTCCCTGGAATTGGAGTTACAGAGGTCATGAGCCACCATATAGGTGCCCAGGGTCCTTTGCAAGCACAGCAAGTGCTTTTAATTGCTGAGCCATCTCTCCAGCAGTGATTTGATATTTTTCAAAGTAAAAATTACTGAGAAAAAATTAAAAGAATGGGCTGGAAAAATGGCCCAGCAGTTAAGAGCACTGGCTACTCTTGCAGAGGACCTGGGTTTGATTCCCAGTGCCCACATGGTGGCTATAACTCCAGTTCCACGGGATCTGATGCCCTCTTCTGACCTCCTTGGACTCTGCATGACATGGGTGCATGGGTGTGTACATGCAGGCAATATACGCATACACACAAAATAAATAAAATATTTTTAAAACACCAAAAAATGAAAAGAATGAATATATAGAATTTAGTACACAAGAAGAGCAAGTCTGTTCAGGATGTTAGAACACTGTAAATAATACCTGGGAGAGCTGACTGCCAAGCTAACTAGAAACATTGGAAAAAAGCAATAGGCACTTAAAATAAGAGTCTTACTACAGTAAGAATAAGGCAGCATTCCCACTCTTTCAGACGATGTCTTCCTAAGCAGGGTCTCACTGAAGACCCTCCCATTCATCCCCACACTCCCAGGCTCCTTCCATGCCTCCTCGCTACCAACAGAAGTGTCTTTGAACATAAAGCTGACCACTTCATACCCCACCAACTTCATAACAACTGGTGGGCCTCTCCTCCCTCACCATAGCAAAATAATTCCCCATAGGCTTCTAACCTGTTTCTACCACACACACTTTCTCTAATGATACAATTTATTCTTGTTCTCCAAACATATTAGGTCTATCTGTGACTGAACACTTCTGTGTGTGCTCTCTGCCCAGAAGACCTTGCCATCATGTCAGACAGGACTTCAGGCCCTTTGTGAAAGTGCAACAGACAGCAGTGTCTCAGATCTGCTCATATGTTCTCTGTATGTGATCCAGCTTTCCCTTCCCATAGTCAGCTACTGCAAGTCTTCCTAATAAGGATGCTCTTGGGCTCAAGCTTTTTTCCTAAGTTGGGAGAGTGGCTTAGCACATAGGAACCTGTCTTTAGGGTAACCATTAACCAATGATGGCTACGTGCTACAGTGGAAAAATTCAGCTTCTCTGCTCTACACCCTACATCCCTATAGTATACCTCTCATTTGACCAGTGTGTAGTCTGCCTTTCTCTATGGAACCTTCACCAGACTGCATTACTACCTTTCCCTTCTTCATAACTGCGAGCTCTCCTGAGATTCAGCGTAAGTCCTTAGTCCCTCTGCACAGTTTGTTACTGTGCACACAGCATCAATCTCAGGCCTTGTATAGAAGAAAATGACAAGGCAACTAGAAGTAATTAATCTCCAGAGATGAACTTTCAATGTCTTTACCGCATCTGAATATAGCAGTCATTAATTTATTTTATACATACCAGGATTTGAACTGCAGCTGGTAAACTATCTACGGGAAAATCTGGAAGTCCAAGTGTAGAAGATTCTTGGGAACAGAGAGTTGTAGCAAAAGACAAGAGCTGAGAAACCCTGGGGGAAGGGGAGAGATATTAAATTTTATGTGAATACTTTAAAAATATAAACTGTATGCAAAGTACAAACTAGTTGGACCAGTTTCATTAATCTAAAAAAAGACGAGCAATGGCTCCATAGCATAATACTCTACTGAAATTCAGAAGCTATCAGCTATCTAGATATATTCCCCAACTCTATCACAATTTCTGAGGTCCAATCCATCCTATTAGCCTCATCTCCCACCTTTCTAAACCTCTAACCAAAGCGCTAGGTCCTAAGAGCTTTTTATACTTGAGAACAAAGCAAAAACTCTCAAGTCTTGTGTTTTTTTAAAATCTGTTGGAATCCTTAATTCACTCTCTACTTATCTGGAAAAGGCCCACTCATAGTTTAGGACTCATTTCACTCTAAGTCCTTTGTGAAGCTTGAATGAAGACTCAACCACAAATAATCCCAGTATTTTAAAATTATGACACTTAAATACAGTGTTTTAAACTAAGCTCCTCACATATCTTCCAATTCTACTATATCTTGACCTTCTTGCTATCAAAGGTTCATATCTTATTAATTTCTATCACTAACACTTAACAAACCTCTTAATACTGAAAAATTCTTCAAAGCATAGTTGTTGTATGACTCCATCAATCAACCAATGAACAGAAAAAACAATTCAATGTTGTGTCCAATATTTATAAATTAATGTTATAAAAAGTGTACGTACTTCTCAGCAGAAACATTGGCTCCAACTGAATATAGTAGTTTTAGTTGGTCCTAAAATAACAGAAACATATATAATCAATTAAAAATGAATATAACACATTAAACACAAATGTGTCATAAATATAAACCAAACTTTTAATTAAGTAGAAACTGTAACTCATAGCACAAGAATCATTTCTTGAAAGTTGGGAGGGTAGAGAAAGGAAGGTGGACCTCAGAGGAGTTGGGGTGGGATATGAAATTATCGAAGAACTAATAAAATTTTTTTAAAAGAAAGAAAAGTCAGCCTTTAAAAACAAACTTTTGCCAGGCATGGTGGTACACGTCTTTAGTCCCAGTACTCGGGAGGCAGAGGCAGGTGGAACTCTGTGAGTTCCAGGACAGCTGGGGCTACAGGGAGACCTTGTCTCAAAAAGACCCAAAAAAAAACAAATTTTCAGAAAAATAATGTACATAAATATTTCTTCCTAGTTTTCAGATTTCCTTCAAGTTGATTCTATGAACTACTGAAAACACTTAAACATATACTAGCACTATTATAGAATTTAATTTCTTGTTTTAGATAAAAGCCATTTCAAAAACTTTATCTTTGATCATACTTACCTTGAAGGGTAGAAAATAAATATCTCTGGCTTGGAATCGAGAACGGAGAGGGGGATCTAACGGGTTTCCAGAGTACCTGGGCACTGGCAAGCCCAAGGCAATCACTCGAAAATTTTCACTAACCCGGACAATCTTCCAAGTATCCAACTCCTCTTTAGTGTGATCCTATGAAACAGGAGATGAAAACATCACAGCATAAGTGATACAGATTACAGCTGCAAGAGCAAGTGACAGATTTCGATTGCAAGAGCTTCCAGGGCAAAGAATTACACCCTGACTGTGGAGAGGAACATATTTAAGAACACCCTCAAAATCAAGCTGACATAGAATGGAGCAAAGTGAATCAGAATTAAGATGCCAGGGAAGGCTCACAGTCTGAAGACTGTTGGAAAGAAAATGTAGCTCACAAACCCAGGAGAAAGGATCCTGAGTCACATCTCAAGTATTAAGTCTATAACATGGAAGAGGAGAATCAGAAGGCAGGGGAAATATATGACCAAAGGTTATGTAAAAGGTAGTTCTAGATCAAGAGACTATCACCAGAGTAGAGATCCCCCACGGGCCTTATATAGAAACTTATATTTATGGGCACATCTCTATCAAGGCATATTATCGGGAATAACTAACATGTTTTGAAAACTTATTACATGGTAAGCACTTTCTGTGAATTTTTCTCATTTTTTACAGAATTTCACATTTGACATTTTATGAATTTCTCACTTAACTAATGATAATACAAACAGACATTACCATTATTATAGGACTAAGCAAATTAAAGTTCAAAGGAGCTGTATAACTTGCCCGTGGTCCTGTATATGATAGAGCTAAGAGAATAGAAACAGTCTAAGTTCTGGAGTCATAAATCCTGACTCTACTAGATATACACTCTAACTAAATATGTTTTATTTTATCCTTGGAGGCTCAGCCTTCTCACCTACAAGTAGAAATAATATCACCTACATGATTCTGAGTGCTATGAAGATTAAATGTGAGAATCTATGTGCATTCTCACAGCAGACACTTGGAAAATGGCATCGCTTTTCTTCCCTGTCTAACTCTATCAATGGCTCTTCACAGCCATAAGCAGTAAGATTCATAGTGCTTACAAAGTTCATATAAATGTGCTTTCTTTTGGGAGAAAAGTCCACAGCTTTCAGCAAATCTTCAGTGGGTACAGCCCACATGATTGTGTAGAAACTTTTAACATGGCACACAACACCTTTCTTGTCATCATTTGTGTCTGATCCTCACAGTCTCAGGAACCCCCCACCTTCTAGGACCCTGTGGCTTCAACTCATGCCACAGTTTCCGGGAGCTTCACCAACACTGATGCATTTATAATGGTCCAGTCTTTCTACTTTGCACAGGATAAACACACATATTCAAAGTTCAGCAAAACAACATCTGTGAAAATGGGCCCTTCTCTGATCCTCTCCTCATTAGCAGCCCTTACGTGTCCCTTAACTGCATGCCTTGCAAGCTTCTGCCATATATTTATACCTTTATTCCTACAAAAAACTGTCTCATGCCAAATCCAAGCTCTTATGGCCTCTAGTACAAAACAGGAAAAAGTTGATTTATTGCATGAATCAATTTTTAAGTCTTTTAAAACATTTTTATATGTATGAGTATTCTGCCTGTATGTATAGAAATGTACCATGTACATGCAATGCCCATGGAAGCCAGAACAGGGCGTCAGCTCTCCTAGAACTGGAGATACATAAAGTTGTTAGCTGTCATGTAGATGCTGGGAACCAAACACAAGTCCTCTGAAAGGGCAGTCAGTGCTCTTAACCACTGAGACATCTCTCCAGCTCATGAATCAGTTTTTATAATAAAACTTATTGTAATCTTAATTGAAATCACACATTAGTAGAGTAACACCGTGGCACTATGCCACATACATAAAAAACATGAGTTTCAATCCAGCTGTTTCTGAAAAATCAAAAGTGTCATCTTTAAAAACAGATAATCACAACATAACATGTATATAAACTAATGATTTCTAGAATAACAAAACTCTTAGCATCATCTAAATGAAGCCTGTGTGTGTTGCATGTATGTGATTGTGTGGGTACATGCACATGGATGTACACATGCCGAGGTCAAAGCAAGACATCAGAAGTCTCCCTCTACCACTTTCCCATTATTGCCCTAACATAGGCTATCTTACTGAACGAGAAGCTCACCCTTTCAACTAGGCTGGTTGGCCAACAAGCTCAGATCTGTCTGTCTCTGGCCCCCAATGATAGCATTACAGGCATGAACAGCCATGTCTGACTTTTTACATGGGTGCTGGGGATTTGAACTAAGGTCCTCATGCTTGTAAAGCAAGCACTCTGATCCACTGAGCCATCTTTATATCTATATATATTTAGATATATTGATAGATAGATGATAGATAGATGTCTTTTTGAAACAGGGTCTCCCTGTAGCCACAGCTAGCCTGGAACTTACTATGTAGACCAGTCAGGCCCCAATCTCACAGAGATTCACCTGCCTCTGCCTCCCAAGTGCTGGGATTAAAGATGTGCATCACCATGACTGACTCTATTACAATATGTTTGAGATACTAAAATTTAGTACATTCAACCTAGTAAGAAAAAAGTGGGATTTAAATTATGGCAATTATGAATCATTTTAACATAGAAAAGTGTTCTAAGATATACATGTTTGTGAGGGTATATGTTCCTATACATGTTTATATTCATGAGAAAGGTCCTATGAATTCAGAAATAAAATTTATCAATAAAAATTATATATTCATGCTAATATCTACTTGGGAAAAAACAATGTAGAGCACATCCTCCTCATTTAATAGTAACAATATCATGTGTACTAAACCCCCTTTGACTGACCTCCCATACCCCAAATTCCTATCCAAAGCAATACATTCAATAACTCTATACAGAATTCTACTGGAGGAATACAAAATATACCAAGTTTTTGTTATGAAGCAATACTTATGCTTTTTAAATCTATTAATAATTTACTAAATAAATTACTAGAACTAGTGAATAACTAATATAATCTCTAGTGGCATACAGTTATTTTATAATTAGAAAGTGGCTAAAAGGAAAGTGTTCTACATGATACCCATCTGTACTTTAAGACAAATAATGCAATTTGCTTTTATTTCACTAAACGAACTACAGTAGCATGAAAGAATAGAGAACCCCATTCCAGGGACAGGAAAATACCTATGCAAAGCCTAGAAAGTAGAAAATGCCTAGTGAGCAGGTGTAAGGTAAAGAGAGTACACAGTGGCTGGAGGACAGTAAAAGAAGAGAAGGACCAGAGAGAGTTAAGAGGTGGTAAAGGCACAGATTATAAGGCATCGTACTGCTCTTGAAGGACTTCAGGTTTACTCTGAGTGAAACAGGAAGCTACTGGGGTGACAGCAAGGGAGTGACTAAATATGACTCATGTTTTGTTTATTTTTATCACTATTTTTGTTGTTTTAATTTTTTGTTGTTGTTTGTGGGGGTTTGGGGGGGTGTTTTTGAGGCAGGGACATATGTTGCCCACACTGTCCTAAAATTCTTTATGTAACTAAGGATAACCTTGAACTCCTAATTCTCCTGTCTCCACCTCCCAAATGCTGGGATCACAAGTGTTACTATACCTAGCTCTGCTACACACTTTGAGGCAATCACTGACTAGCATGATGAAAACAATGTGGGGAGCAAGGACAGAAGTAGGGAGTCAGCTTAAGGGACAGGCAGAAGGTGCTGGTGGCTTAGACCATCAGGGCATCTTAAATATCATATTCACTTTGGTCGATCTCTATTGAGTTTTGCATTTTGTTAAGTATCCCTGATGCTCAGCACTATCTATGCCTTTATAGTCATTAAAAGAAGAGAAAAAATAAAGGAGAAAAATGGGTAAGTGGAGACTAGTTATTAAACTGATCAAAGAAAAAGGAAAACATTAGTCACCGGGGAAGTCTTCTGGGATCCTCTGCAGATACAACAGCCTTTCAAAACTGTAAACTTGCTACTGACTTCAGCAGTTTGTCAGCAATAAGGGCCATCTGAATGCTGGTCCTGATTCCATAGAGCCCTGTTCTGTATAAGGCAGCACTCCCCAAACTCTAGCAGAGGCCAAGCAGCTGGTTTTCTCTTACTTGGAGAAGCTTGTCGTAGCGCTCAGCAGCCATCAGGAATCGACCGTCCTCAAGCTGCATCTCCCTGTTCTCCAACAAGTTGTTCAACACTGGCAGGACATTCCTCTCTGCCTTTTCCAAGCCTTCCAAAACCAGAGTTCTGCCTTCTGTGGCGGCCCGAACTGCACACTAGTTCCAAGAAATACAAAGGCAAAATGAGAACACCAAGAGCAGCAGAGCCCAATTTTACTTGCACTGAAACCAAACGTGTTGCTTGTTTCAGAGACTGAGACTCAAGGGAGGTGAATTAAATCTTAATTTCATTTTCTCTGCCTTTCTGATCTTGGGCAAGTAACTTTACCTCTTTGGGCCTGTTTATTCTTCTGTTAAATGAAGAGTGTCACAGACTATCTCTAGGGCTTTTTGTGACATTACATTTTAGATTACACAGTCAATGAAACAGAAAACTAACAGCTATCTATGAACAGATAACATAATTAAGCAAGAAAACAGATTCCTTCATTAGAAAAGAAAAACAAAGATAACAGTCTGGCCTCTCTATTCAATAAGCTTTTTGTATGGATCAAAAAGCTAACTGGGGGCTGGAGAGATGGCTCAGCAGTTAAGAACAGCCTCTTCTGTCCTCTACGGGCATTGCATGACACGGTTGCACTTACCTACAAGCAGGCAATACACACACACATATAAAATAAAAATAATAAATAAAAATTTTTTTTATAAAAAGCTAACTGGGAAGACTTGAAGACCACAGTGTTTGTAAACGAGCCATCATTAAAACTAATTCTTAGTATGATGTTCAATCCTGACAACTTTACACATTTGGCAAAATAGAGTCAGGTTTCAGCAGGTTCACAACAGATTGACTTCACCAGTACTGTATCACCATCCATTTAAGAAGATTAGTAATGGGGGGAAATGGGAAATAAATGGTCAGAGATTAGAAAACTACACTCTCCTTTCATTGTCAGGTCATGAACAACAATCTTTTTCATCAAAATCCTTGAAAAACACTTTTGAAAGGAAAATCTCATTCACATTTCACTGCCTGCAACAACAGAGGGGATTAATATTTCTACCCCTTAAAAATATCTTTGACTTTATGACACTGAGCTCTCCTAGAACAGTGATTTTTTTTTATTGTCTGTTCATGAAATGTAGGTCCAGAATTATACCCGTAATCTACAGCTTTCACTCCACAACTAAGTAGATTGCTTCTGAATTCATCTTTATCACTAGTTCCAAATATCACTATTTCTATGGTTTATTTTTACACAGTTAGCAAAGGTGAGGTCCCTCACCCCAAGCTGTGTAAAAACAAACCATAGAAATAGTTTCTGGGTCATCAAAAATAAAAATAAAAATTAGCAGAGAAAGGATATATGGGTATTCATGTTTAGGTATGGTTTCAGGGTTTTGTTTTGGTTTGGTTTGGTTTTTTTGGGTGTTTTTGAGACAGGGTCCCCCTGTAGTCCCAGCTGACCTGAAACTCACTATGTAGATCAGGCCCACCTCATCTCACAGGGATCTGCCTACCTGTGCCTCCTGAGTGCTGGGATTAAAAGTGTGTGCCACCATACCACACCTAGCTTGCAATATTTTTTTTTAAGCTAACGTTTTATCAATCTTTTTTTTTTTTTTTTTTTTTTTTTTTTTTTTGGTCTTTTTGAGACAGGGTCTCCTTGGCCTGGCCTGGAACTCATTATGTAGATCAGGCTAGCCTCGAACTCACAGAAATCCACTTGCCTCTGCCTCCCAAGTGCTAGGATTAAAGGCATGCACCACCATACCTGGCCTTATCAATCTTTTTTATAAGACAACTATTGTATTTGACTTTTAAAAGTTTCACAGATATAAAAGTGCATATTCTCTGAGAAAAATCGGAATTATACAGATCACTATTTGGTGGTTTACCAACTATGGGTCAGGGAAAACATCTTGGCAACAAAGGGTAAAAGAAACACTGCATCTCTGCCTTGATTCAGCTCATGGATACTTTAGCCTACTATGCACTGGATCCTTTCAGAGGAATTCAGAGTAAGTCATGCAGAGACATCATAATTAGAAGCCAAATATACAAAGGATTTCTTCCATCTACTCTAATGGAGGTGTTGTGACAGCAAAGTTGAAAAAGTAGTGATGAATAAAAAAAGATTATACCATCTAATGATCATTGAAAATCTGATATATGTTAGACTTCTTCCCTAGAGTAAAACTCTTACAGTGGGGACTTCAAGTTAAGGGCTTATTTTACTAAAGAATAATAAAAAGAGCAATTCACCCTTTTGGAAGACATCATAGCAATTACTGTGGCAGGCAAGAATCACAATGGATGATAAAATTAGTGAGTCAAGGTCTGAAGAAAAACTGGCTATCTGTATATACTCAAAACATCTTCCCCAAAGACATTATAAGTGGCAAAATGACAAAATGAAAAATAAGATAACACTGGAGGAACTGTAAGATCCCATTTTAAGCACACTGTCAAAATTAATGCTGCCAGCAATGAGCTGTATCAATGTCACACACCAGACTTCAGACACAATACCTGAGCTGGGCACAGCATGGCCTCTGTGTACTCTTGCTAAAACTGCATCATTTCAAAACATGAGGAAACATCAGATAAACCCAAAGTAAGCAACATTTTATAAAATAACTAGCCACAAGGAGAAGGAAGAGTCTGCTGCAGGAACTGGGCTGGGCACCATGTGGGTAGTATCAGTGATTTGTTGAATAATTCAAAATGTGGATGTGTTGAAATGAGGAGGAAGAGACTGTAGATACAGAAAAGAGAATAATTAATTACTGAAGTAAAACTTGAGGCTGCTACTTGATGTTGGGGAAGGATATCTGTAAAGTCTCTTTCAGCAATGAGAGCCTTGAATACATGAGACTTAGTTTAAATAATTACAATTAAAGAAGGAAACAGGCTGGGCATGGTGGTGTACACTTTGACCCCAACACGCAGGAGGCATCTCTGTGAGATGGAAGTCAGCCTAGTTTACACAGTGAGTTCCAGAGCAGCTGGTGCTACAGAGAGACTCTGTCTCAAAAGAACAGAAGGAAAAAAGAAAAGAGCAAATGTTCCCAACTTTTTCTTATTAATTCAATATAAATTGTTTATTGATATTATATATACACTAAGTAGCAATAAACATGGATGTTTTACAGTGCAATTGAATATAAGGATGAGGGTCTTAAAAAAGGATTACAAACTTTAAAGAATGATAAATTCTGTTAAGTGAAGAAAAAAGGGAACACTGACAAGCAGAGAGACTGACAAAAGGTGGTTTTTTGCTTTTTTTTTTTTTTTTTTCTGTCTTTTTGAAACAGGGTCTCCCTGTAGCCCCAACTGCCCTGGAACTCGCTTTGTAGACCAGGCTGGCCTTGAACTCACAGAGTTCCACCTGCCTCTGCCTCCCAAGTACTGGGACTACAGATGTTCGCCACTATGCCTGGCTAACAAAAGATTTTTTTACTTTCCTCCCCTTGCCCCTTTTGGTAACATGTTGTAGGCCCTGAGCATACACATATTGAAATTTTTCAGTGTAGTAAACAAGAACATTAGCTGAAAGGAAAAAACTCATGAGTACATGTTCTCTGTTTCAAATTGAATCTGAAACACTCAATTTGGAGAGACAATACTAGTTACTCTTTCAGTATTGACTTGTTTACTACCCCTTTCTTAAAAAGTCTATGAAATGATTTAAGTGCTTTAACCAGTACTTTCTAACTTTATTACTATAATCAGATTACATTTGCAGAGAATAAAATTTAAAGATAAGTAACTAAATAAAGGGACTTGTCCATTGAGCACTCTAACACATCAATCATGTTTTTTATTGAACCAACACTAGTTTCAACTTCGTTGAGAGGAAAAAAATTATAAATTTTGTGCCTAATGGAACACAAGCACCTTGCCCTCCCTGTAGTGATATTCCCTTTGACCTGTGTTTGCTCAATCTGTTCATCACTTAAGTGAAGAAGCACATCGAACTCTCCCTGTTGTCTGACATTTCCTCTCCCTAGCAAAATTTATGAGTCTGCAAAGGATGAGAGCCCTCTCCACTACACGTGCTGATATAAAAGTGGCTCACATAGGGTACTAGCATTTATGAAATAGAGATGCAATTGATCATTAGAAAGCACCATTATAGGGGGACATTGCCCCTACTAGCCACCATAGGCTAACAAAGTAAAAGACCAATGCCAGGAATAGACTCCCTCTCTTGAAACTGTTGAAGAACAGGGGTTCAAAAGACCCTCAAACAATACTGGCCATTGCCCCTGCTCTTGGTTATTTGCCAGAACTTCACAATAAGACCCCAGTGCTGAAGACACGACATACATGAGCTATAGAAAAAAACAAGGAGAAATCAAGCTGGTGTTGCTGACTTCAAAGCCTCATCTCTACTGACTAGCTTTCATAGTGATTGGAAGGTGCTATGCATGATACCTAAAGAGAAAATTAGTCATCAACCTTGCCTAGCTGTAAACCCTGCAAGCTACAACAACTGGCCTGGCAAGATATGCCCACCAGTACAATAGTAGCACAAATATTATGGGAGTAACCAACCACTTTCTAAGATCTGATTCATAGGATGTAACCCATACCGGACATTGATATTAAGCCTATAAACCTGATGCTAGACAGGTTACAGACCATAGGGGAGAACCTAATACTATTATTCTGATAAATATAGTATTAAACTGATTTCTAATGACTTATTTTTATACTCATTGATCAACTCTCAGCAGAGAAACTTCCTTATACAGGAGACTGTGATTAACACAGAGAACCACAACTGGTCAATGTACAGAGAGAATAAGAGGCTGCAGATTGCTTATCTCTGAATAGGACACCTGAATCAAACTTCTGCCTCCCAAGGCTCAGGAATGATTGCAGAAGAGAGGGAAAAAAGATTGCGAGAGCCTGAGATGAACACAAGGAAACAAAGTTTTCCAGACAACTGTTCAGTTACTCATATGAACTCTCAGTAATGGTGACAGCATGCACAAGTCCCACATGAGCTTAAGCCAGACAAAATACCAGCACAGACATGGGGAAGTGGGTAAGAAACCTCAATCCTACCTGAGGAAGTATTGGCAATTAATGACTGCTGGGAAGGGGAGAGTCAGTCTTGTTTAAGGATGAGACTCTTGGTAGGTTG